CTCACCATGCTGCTTTACTCACCCCGCCGCTTTACTGACCCCACCATTTTACTCACCCCGCCGCTTTACTCATCCCGCCGTTATACTCACCCCGCCGCTTTACTCACCCCGCCATTTTACTCATCCCGCCACTTTACTCACCCCGCCATTTTACTCACCATGCTGCTTTACTCATCCCGCCGCTTTACTGACCCCGCCATTTTACTCACCATGCTGCTTTACTCATCCCGCAGCTTTACTGACCCCACCATTTTACTCACCCCCCCGCTTTACTGTATAGCTTGACACATAGAGCTGCAGCCAGAAAACTTCTCCGATGGGCTGTTGCTCTTCCAGAGACGTGTGACTCATTTAATCCTCCCTAGTCCTCTTATCACAGTATGTTTGTAACATCAACATCTTTCATAAATATTTCCCAAGATGGAGGAATGTTGCGTCTTTTTGCTTTGCAGAAGTAAATTGCAGAGACGCTCATTATTGCAGTCTGACTGCCATATTTGTAATGACCACAGACACTTCTAAAATTATCGCTATAAATTGCTCTTTGTCAAAATGCCTGCAAGTTTGAATTGCTTAATTATTTTACCCCACACAATGAGAACAGCAGGTGTTTATAATGAATTCACATAAATATTTTATGGGACAGTCTCTCCTCCACTAACTGATGGAAATTTCTGGTACAGTACATACATTTCATACAACTGAGTAGATGTTATGATATACAGTATAATATTGTAGACTGATGTTCAGATAAACAAATCGATAGCACACTGAAAAAAAACTTTTAACCAAAACTTCACAAATACTGAACAGAAATATGACGCTACATGTTTTTAAATGTACACAGTACTAAGGTGTAGCACATATGGTGTCTATACAGGGAGAATAAGCTCACAAAATGAGAACACAATTTTATCTGTTAATGCTTCTGAAGGAGAACTTGACCTCTTTTCTCCAGAGTGCCATTTAAAGAAAAACAAATTACTTGGAGTGTGGTGGATTGTCAACAGAAAATTTTGGTGCAAGCCAGCCTTTGTGTATGAAGGAAAAAACATATTGGTTAAGATAATTGTTGTTATGGTACATTCCAGTTCAGTGTTTTCAGTGAAAGATGCCCTTTCCTTACACAATTAAATAATGATTAAATAAGAGCCTCGTTATTATTTTGTAGAATTTGACTCTATATTATTTATTATATAATTTTGTAATCTGCATTGTCTTGAAGTCTTCAATCTTGCTTTCTCATAGTGACCCTTTTGATAAGCTTTAGTACATTTAATATATAAAATATTTGGCATAAGCTGGCAGTTGTTTTGTTTTGATATTCTTGTAAAATCCATATGACAATAGAAACATTTCAAACTGCATTCATTTGATCCAAACTTGCATTTGAATGGAAAAAATGACTTCTCCCATTTTCCTTCAGACAGCCCAAGCTGATTTTCACTTCAAGAAATGTATATTTGGGTTAATGTTTTGAGAAAATGTCTATACAGTGTGAGCTTCACAAGAGCTACACTTAAATTAGCAGCTGATGACAGAGCATTGACATTAGTCTGTCCTTGCCGGGATTTCAGAAGCAACCTAAGTTTAGAGATTTAATTCCTCAGATCTTTTTTTTCTGCAGTGAAACAAAATACACAATCTGTAATATTTAACTTCCTAGAATTTTTACCTTTTTGACTGTTGTTGTTCATTGTAAGATATTTTTTTTCACTGTAGAGCAAATTTAGATTTTGTTGAACGCTTCTGAAAACAGAAAATTGTTTCCTTCAAAACATTTTATATGGAGGAGCCTGATAAAATACTGTACACCAAGTGAGTTACTGTAGGTAGACACAGTCCCTAAAATCAGTGGCCCTACTTTGGCTATAAAGGCTGAGATGTTCCTGGCACAGCAGATTAACCACACAATGCGACAGGGTAAAGGCTGAGCGAGCCAGTGATCCTGTCCTACCCATCTTTTGTGAGGCTGGATTTGAGAGCTTCATTTATCCAAATGATTAGGTTCACAGTTCACTTCCTGACCATCCGACTTCCAACCATTACAATTATTGTCCAGACAGCCAGAAAGCCCCCGTTCTGTCGGCTATTGTGACCGAAGAATTCGTTCTAGGAAATGGGCACCATTTATTGTCCATGGCCTCAAGCTGTCCTGTGCTTTTTGATTTAAAGACATTTATTCCCTTATGATGCACAGTGGTATAGTATATGGAAAATCAAGCCGCAGATAAATTTGCAGTGAACTAGAGCCTTTTAGTCTGGGAGTGTTCTGTATTTCTACTCTTGATCGTGTAAGTATTGATCTGTTCACTGTAGTGCAAGCAGGGATTTTGCTGAAAGCCTCTGAAAACAGAAAATAGTTCGGTTCAACACATAAAACAAACGGGAAGTTAACGCGTCTTCAATATCCCTGATACAGTTAAAAGAAACAATAATTTATTATAATTATTATTATTATTGTCGATGTTCCCGAAAGGGAATGTTCTTAAGTATGTCTTAAGTGAAAGCAGGGTGAAACAGCGTCAGCAGTGCGAGGTGAATGGTGACGTACCTATAGGGCGGTGGGGACGAGAGGAGGGGCGCATCGCTAAGCCTCTACAGTTTAAGAAGAGCCTCAGGAGAGCGATGTTACTTATTTCACAGATTTGAAAGGAGCCTGGGAAACTGAATGAAAACGTGGACAATTGTGAATGCAGTTTTTATACGATGGCATCTGCCAGTATTTCGCATTCTTTAAAGCTAACGCTTTTCTTTTTCTTCGCATTTACCCACGTTGCAGCTTTTAACCTTGATACTGAGAATGTAATCAGGAAAAACGGAGAGCCGAGCAGTTTATTCGGATTTTCTCTCGCCATGCATAGGCAATTAAAACCTACTGAGCGGAGAATGTAAGTTGATCATTTCCAAGTATAATGTTTTGTACTGTCTGTCTGTCTCCTGATTTTAAAACTTTTGGAAAAAAACAGTTTAACAAGTGTCGTCTGTGCTATTTAACTTGAAATTACATATTGTAATTTGATAAAACGTAGCAAGTTTTCTTTTGTTAGTTTGCATTAAAATACATTACTATTGGAAAGCATAAGTCTGTCAAGCAATAAAGTAAATATATAAATATATATAATGCAAATACTTCCACTAGTTTGTGTGCGTATCAACCGTCCAATATCAAATGCTCATACTACGGATTTAAGTAGGAATTAAGTATGGGGAAAGGGCCGGGTTAATTATATGTGCAGCATAGTTATTCAGTAACAAGGTAACGAGTATTATGTATTAGGCTACTGAATACCTTCGGTGGAGGCCCGTGAAGTTTCAGAAATAATGAGAAATGTTGTGCAGTATAACAATGAGGAATTGATATTCAGATCGCGGCGGGCTCTTGAGCGTGGGGGTAGTCATTGTACGCCGCATTCCCTTTGACAAGGTTTTCGGTGTGACTTTACAATGCCTAACTGAAGGTCCTTTATGCTTGCAGTTTTAGTGAAATACTCATGCATCTTAATTAAGCGCATGTTAAGTTAACGAGTTGCGTTTCTCCAGTTGCTGGTGTAACGTGATGTGAAATAACCTGCCGGTATGAAAGAAAATATGCACTCATATCTGTTGTGCTCATCTGTTATGTAGTAGGCCTGCAACTTAAACCATACTGTGCTTGCAACGATTTGTTTAATTTCTTTATTAGGGCTATAGCCAGTGTACCTAAAATTCTGGGGCCCTGACAAAATGTCACCTGCCGCTTAGGTTGCAGGACCTAAGATTTCTTCGCTTCTACTGCTGTGACAAGTGCATAAAGTCCCAGCAATAATTATGGATCCAAAGGCGGGTAGGACTATAAACTCAAACGACGTGGTTTTAGTGCTGAATTTTTGTCTTAATTTTGTTAATGATAATGTACAGAAGTAGGAACTGTAAGGTAAATCAAAGCCTGCTGGATTCTGTTCTTGTTTTCACAATTTTGTTATAAATAAATCATTCAACTTAGAAGTCAGATTTTTTTCTAGTGCTTGCATGGAACTGAGAGCAAGAGTTCACCGTTAGTTCCAGTGACTGCTTTAGTATGTGTGCAGATGGGGGAGGATGATTATATAGCAAATACTGTAACTAACAGCTGTGTGTGCTTAAAAACCAGCAGAGAATAAACTGAAACCTTTTCACGAGCTTGTGGTAGGCTACATACGTGGAATACGATTATGTGCTAGAATGCATTTAATATGCAGATTATGGATTATGGATCAGGAACAGCGATGCTTAGGTATGGGTCACCTCCACACAGCCAGATAGATGTATGCAAGACAACTGCACACTCTCAGAAAAAAGGGTACCAGTTTGTACCTTTGCTTGTCACTGGGGCTGTACCCTCGAGGGTCTGCCAGTTGTACCCTTAGCTGTAGGTAATTGTACCTTTTAAGGTACAGAAATTGAGTCTAAGGAACATTTAGTACCATTGTACATTAATGTTGTCTGTACCTTGGGGAGTCCACTTCTGTACCTTAAAAGGTACACAAATTTAAGGTAGGCTACTTCCCCGGTGTCTAAGAAAGATGTGTATGCAAGAACAGCGAGATTGGTAGAAGTTAGCGGCGATGAAGCAGGTTCGTAAAATAGCATTTTGCAGTTGTGGAGATGCATAGAGATGAGATGAAACAAAAGCTGTGGTCTAGGGCAGCTAAACATTGTAAACCAAAAGTTGCGCTTCAGGAAATCTGGTAGGCTGCGTCTGCTGCTAAATGTTAAGTAGTAGACTTTATGTAATCAGCACTATCGTGCTTTTATTTATTAATTTTTGTTACTTTTTCCTATTGCTTTTTTGTCCTGATTTTCCCTTTTCACTGTTGCTTTTGCTTATTCTCGAAGGACCAAGCTGTCAATCAATAGTACAGTGGTACCTCAGAACTCGAAATTAATCCGTTCAGAACTCCGGACCGAATCCTAAAAAGTCTGAGTTCTGATCGAATTTTCCCCATAAGAAATAATGTAAATCCAATTAATTGGTTCCTGGCCCCAAAAAATTACACCGAAATATGTTTTTACTTAGCATTTAAACACAAAATGAACCGGACAAAACAAGAAAAGCATATAATGTACTAAAGACATCTAAGCACATTTATCAAAGCAGTAATTTTTAAAGTAAGAAAATAAATGTATCCATTCCAAACAATGTGTCATGCCCCGATCGTCCGCTCCTTCCGTGTGCCACGCCCCCTCGTTAACCCCGTGTGGAATCCCAGTGTGATCAGCTGTTTCTGGTTGTTGTCATTAATCCTCTGTATTTAGTCGGCGTTTCAGTTTGTTTCCCCAATCCGGTCATTGTATTGTCTGTCTGCGTTTTGCCTGCCTTACCTGTAATTAAACCCCGTATTCCCCGATACCCTGACGTCTCCGTTCTGTCCCCGCTGGGCATGACAATATTATTATAATTAAATGTATTACTGGTTTATTATTAATATTTAAATAATTAATAAGAAATCTTTATTTTATTATATAATAATAATTACTGTTACTGTCTATCACTGTCTAAATGTATTTTTACTGTCTATATATATATATATATGTATTCAGCTAGTGTAAACATGCATGGTGCTATCACAGCAAATGCGAGGCTGAGACTGAAGCATTACCACGTACGTGACTCATTTCCCCGCGCCTGCAAGTTATCTTAGGTCGGCCTTTACGGTTTGACTTCTGAGATTCAAATCGAGTTATAGGTAATTTTTTTCGAACTGGTTGGTTCGACTTTTAAGAAATTCGAGTTCTAATGAGTTAGAGAACTGAGGTACCACTGTATTTGTTTAGTCCAAGTCAAACAATTAACTACAGATGAAACAGATAAGTCGAATTAAGCGCGCGTTCCTTAGTCTATGAATCGGCGCATTACTGAGGTGAATTCGCTGCGTATGTAAATCGAGGACGAAATACTGTATATTCCTGGCAACGATTTCAGTCAAGTATCAAAGAAAATCATTTTATCCTATTGTTCAATAATTTTTTATTGTTATATTTAGTCGTGAAATTACACCCTAAACAATGTTTTATTTTAGATGATGAAATTTATGTTATTTAAAAATCTTTCTTGCATCGCGTCATTTCATTTGGTCCCCCTCCAAATGTCAAACTCCTCCCGCGGCCACTGCATGCATTTGTAACTGTGTGCATGCCCTATGACAGACTGGCATCCATTCCTGTTCCTCTGCCTCTTGCTTCCCCTCCTTGCTCAAGCTCTTCACTTCCCGTCACAAGCTCTCCTAGATCCCGTACTGGATAAGCAGGTGGAAGTTGGCGTTATGTTTTCTTTAACTGTACATTAATACTTGGAAAGCACATACACTATATGACCATATAAGTACTGGGAATCACTGTTAAACACAGAAATCAGGTGTTCCATTTAGACTCCTTGCCACAGGTGTGTAAAATCAAGCACCTAGTCATGCAGTCAGGTTTACAAAAATATGCGAAAGAATGCGTCGCTCTGAAGAGCTCAATGAATTCAAGTGTGGTATACTGCCATAGGATGTCACATTTGCAATAAGTCAGTTTGCAAAATTTCTTCCCTGCTCAGTATGCCACGGTCAACTGTATGTGGTATTACTGCAACGTGGAAGCATTTAGGAACAACAGCAACTGAGACGGATCACATAATGTAACAGAGTGGGGTCGCCGGGTGCTACGGTGCATTGTGCGTAAAAATCGCCAGTGCTCTCTTAACTCAGTAACGGCAGAGTTCCAAACTTCCTATGGCATCAACCTCAGAAAAAAACCTGTGCACTGGGAGCTTCATGAAATGGGCCTCCGTGGCTGAGCAGCTGCACACAAGCCTCACATCACCAAGCGCAATGCCAAGTGCCAGATGGAATGGCGTAAATCGAATTGCCATTGAACTCTGGAGCAGTGGAAACATGTTCTGTGGAGTTCGGAATCACGCTTCTCTGTCTGGCAGTCTGATGGATGAGTCGGTTTGGCAGATGCCAGGAGAACGTTACCTGCCTGACTGCATTGTACCAACTGTAAAGTTTGGTGGTGGAGGGATAATGGTATGGGGTTGTTTTTCAGGGGTTGGTCTAGGCCCCTTAGTTCCAGTGAAGGGAACTCTTAATGCTTCAGCACACCAAGACATATTGAACAATTTTATGCTTCCATAGAACTGGGAAGACCTTTTTCTGTTCCAGTATGACTGTGCCCCAGTTCACATAGCCAGGTCCATAAAGACTTGGTTGGATATGTTTGGTGGGGAAGAACTGGCCACACAAAGCCCTGACCTCAACCCCATCAAGCACCTTTGGGATGAACTAGAATGGAGATTGTGAGCCAGGCCTTCACATCCAACATCAGTGCCTGTATCTCACAAATGCTCTTCTGGGTGAATGGGCAAAAATTCCCACAGACAAACTGCAAAATCTTGTGGAAAACCTTCCCAGTAGAGTGGCAGCTGTTATAGCTACAAAGGAGGGACCAACTCCATATTGATGCCCATGGATTTAGAATGGGATGTCATAAAAGTTCCTGTTGGTGTAATGGCCAGGTGTCCCAATACTTTTATCCATATAGCGTCCTATTATCATACATGCAAAATTAAGGGCTTATTTCCAAATTATTTTTTTTCAGTGCAGTACATTGTTAATGATTTAGTTAAAAATGAATGCTTTTATAGTTTCATAAGTAATATCTTAATACCCTTTGGTGTGATGTTTTGGTCTCAATGGACTGCAATCTTCTGCCAGAGGGGAGAGTCCGAAAGAGTTTGTGACCAGGGTGAGAGGAATCATCCATAATCCTTCCTGCTCTTTTCAAGGTCCTGGAGATATACAGGCCATGTAAAGACGGAAGGTTGCAGCCGATCTTCTTCCCCGCAGAGTGAATGATGCTCTGTAGTCTGCTCTTGTCCTTGGCAGTG